TGCCAAGACAGCTCATTTGTTTTGTATTACTAAAGTGCTTTTGTTTTACCTACTGGGTCTCTGAGTCCTGCCTGCATCGGGGTTCATCCATCGCATCAGATTGTGACTGAATGCCCAGACCAATATATGAGACCAGCAGGTGGATGACATGGGTTCAAGCACCTGGCCCAAGAAGTAGCTTGGACTGCCTGGTGGGAGCAACACAGAGGGAGGAGTCTGTCATCTGGTGGAGCAGGTTCTGGACCGAACCTGTTCAGAGGCAGAGACACTGCAGCCCGGAGGTGGAGATCCTGTCGTCACCTCTTCTAGTGGAGGAAGAGAAAAGAGGATGTCTCAGTTCCTGGGAATGTTGCCTCGCTTTCAAGCTCAGTTTTCCCTCCTCTCTGACGCTTCGCTCTTCATATGTGTTTTTTTGTATAGACATCTGAGGAGGACGCAGAGCCGGAGGATGAGCTCTGGTTTGCTCCTGGTCCCAGCTCATGCCGCCGCTGCAGGATGGACCAAAGACGGACCCAGAACTGGTCCATTGAACTTCCGCCAGCACCTCCCGCACCTCCTACGTTTCCCACTCAGTCCGGCAAGGCTGAGCTTCAAAGGACACCTGTTCCCAGCATCCCAGTGGGTGCCGACCACATCCCAGTGGGCGTAGGTTACAATGACCCACCTCCCCTCAGGGTCTCAGTGGGTGTTGGCTGCAATGATCCACCTCCTCTCAATGTCTCAGTGGGTGTTGGCTGCAATGACCCACCTGCTCCTTGTGTCTCTGACAGGGTCCTGGAGGACACCTTTCGCCTTTCTTACAAGAGGATCCAGGAGGATGCCTCTCACCCCTCATCTCCTGTAACACCAGCAGCTCCTCCTCTGCCTCTAGCAATGCCTGTTCAGTCTGGCAAGGCTGAACTTTGTGAGCCAACAAAGCAGTAGAGAATCTATGAGGCTGAACCTCCTGAGGAACCGTCTCTACCAGCGAAGAGGCAGACTTGGCGACAGCCCACCTCCATGTCCCCTGGTGGGTTCCACTACGCCTCATGAAGGTTCCATGCCTTGTGAGGGTTCCACGCCTCCTCAGGGTTTTATTCTTCGTGAGAGTTCCATGCCTCCCAAGAGTTCCACATTTCGTGAGGACTCTATGCCTCCTGAGAATTCCATGCCTCATGAGGGTCCCATGCTTCCTGCAAGTTTCACACCTCGTGAGGGTTCCACACCTCATGAGGGCTCCACACCTTCAGAGGGTTTCACTCATCTCGAGGGTTCCACGCCTCATGAGGGCCTCATGCCTCCCGAGGTTTCCACACCTCCTGAGATGGTTAAGTCCCCGGAAGTGGTTACACCCCCTGAGATGGCTATACCTCCTATTCCTGAGGTCTCGATGCCATCTGCACCCTCCCTGGTCTCAATGGCATCTGCAGCCTCCCTGGTCTCAATGACCACTGCAGACTCCTTGGTCTCATTAATAGCTGCAGCCCCCCAGGTCTCTACACCAGCTGCAGAACACCAGGTTCCTCCGCTTCTCTTCCCCCATGCTGGATGATTGGTGTCTGAATCCACCAGCAGTCACATGCTGAAGTGTCCCTGGGCAAGACACTGAACCCCTCATAGCCTCTGATGTGTGTCCCATCAGTGTATGAATGTGATCTAAAGCTCTGATTAGTCTCTTTAGAATGATTTGTTCAATTAGCTTTGTAGAGATCTAGTAGAGTGCTGTGTGAATGGGTAAACAAGAGCACAGATTGTAGGTAAAGCGCTTTGAGTATCTTGAAATAAGATAGAAATGCGCTATATAAGTACAGTCCATTTACCAGTCGTTGTCTGGTCATTGTCTGGTGAAGTCTCCTTGGTTCCTAGTGTTTCGACTAGGGGTGTAATTTTACGCTAAAATCACATTTCGGTTCGGTTCAATTTCAAGGAGGGCTCGGTTCGGTTAATTTTCAGTACAAAAAAGGCTATTTTGAAAATATGCCAAGTAAACAAGTTCAGTCATTACAGCCTTCTTAGCTGGAGGTGATCGGGTGGATGAAAAAGACTCAGCTGCTATCATCCTCAGACTGCAAACAACACAAAGAGATAAAAAATTGAGTTAATAATATTATAATTTTAAATTAAAACAGTTAATTATATCACAATAATACAATAACAATACCTCTTCTTGCACGGTCATAATTTCTGATATGAGATGGTTGCATATTCTCTCTCGCTCATCATCATCAGGGCAGGGCTTTAAATCTGGGCTCCAGGGCTTGCTGACAATATCAGTTTTAGCTTTTTCATAAAGGGCTGCTACAACTTTTTGGCTGAAGTGTTGATGTGATGGGATGCCGTAGGCAGCGGGGCTCAAGAACTTTAATCTCATGCTTAAAGCCAGCACATCATTCGGACATAGATCCATAAACTCCTACAACTTGTGTTATTGCTTTGGACCTATCTGAATTACGCAATAAAGGTTGTTTAAATGCTGCTGTTATTGGTCTTTGCACCAAGCTGCTTTTCTTCCTTGTAGAAGAGACATTCACATTCGAATGATGTCGTTTCAAGTGTGTTAACAAGTTAGACATGCTGCCTGCTGCAGATCCAACCTTCATGAAACAACGTCGACACAGCTTTGAATTTGTCCGCTTGTCTTTTCCCATTGTTGAGTTTTAACAAGAAAACCATAATGTTCCCAAACAGGAGACCACAATGAGATGCTAGGCTGCTAATGCTACGCGTGCTGCAAGACTATGCAACAATTAATAGCGCCATGCTGAAACATGCTTAGGAACGTTAGTTCCACGGCACATAATCTCCCATTGATAAAATTTAATGAGTGAAAAAATAACCAAAACGGTACACAGGTGGACCGAACCGAACATGACGTACTATTGTGGAAACTAACAAACAGTGAGGTATAAGTTTGCCGAGACTAAATGAAGAGATCAGATCTGATCTTGCAAGTGTCTTTATTTCGGAGGCTCAAACAAGTGTGTGAAGGCTCCCTCTGCCTGCAGTGCAAAAGTGAAGCCCCAAACAAAGGATTCACTGACCTTTTATAGGTCTTCAGTTACTCACACACACATTTCCTAATATAGAAGTTCTAAGAAGACAGGAGGTTTCAGCAGGTGGTTTTCTTCAGATAAGATGCAGCCTGGGATCTAAGGTTCAAGTCAGGAAAACAGCCAAGTCATCGTTATTTTAATGAAAAGGGAGGATGAGGGAAATGAGATAATCTAAAGGTCACTGAGTGTGAGAGTAGCTCTGGCTGCAGCTCCCAAGATGGCCGCTAATGATCTACACCTGGCGGTCATCTCCCTGATGAGCATCAACCTCTACTTAAGGCTGCAGTCAAGTCTACTCGATGCTGGAGCATTGATTCCCTCCCGGTACTAGTGCTCTCAGCCTTTTGTGTTCTGAAGTATTTAAGATACTTACCTTGTGCTTCTTGTGTCAGCAGTTCCTCGTTTTGCCGTACCGTCCAGTCCTGTTTTCTCGGTTCCTGTCTGGTCTCATGAAACCCTGCCCTCGTGGTTTTTGGATGTCCGTGCTCTGCTGCTGGGACTCATGCCTCTTGGAACTCCTGAACTCACTCCAGTACCAAGGAAGCTGTAAGATAAGAAACAACAATATCAAATCCTATATTCCTGTGTCACTTACCTGCTCCCGACCTAAAAGACTATTCCACCTCTTCCAGGAGTTCCAGTCCCAGGGCCTGTACATATTGTATGTACTTTTATCCACTGTAAATAAATATCACTTTGTTTGTAGCCTGAGTCTTGTGTCGTTCTGGGTCTCGTTACAACTGGGTTGCCCGCACATACAACACTGAGTACTTTTTAGGAGTACAGGAGAGTTGTGATGAAGGAACTCTTTATCAGCCTGAGCTTCTAGTGAACATTTCAGTGCACATTTACCAATATGTGACTATAAAAGTTTGTTTAGTGAAGTAAATACATTTTACTTTCTATCATATTACCGAAATGGTTCAATACACTCACATGTCACATGTACCGTTACACCACTTGTTTCTACATGTTTCCTGGATATGTAAGTTTTGCCTGCCACAACAGCTAATTTGTTTTGTATTATTATAGTGTTTTTGTTTTACGTACTGGTTCTCCGAGTCCTGCCTGCATCTGGGTTCATTTATCGCTCCAGACTGTGACAGGGCTAAGTTTTATTTTATTTTATCTACTGCACATTTCACTGTGTCAAATCTCTGGCCTTTGTAGGAAAGAACAGTTTGTTAACTCGGGACAATTTATCCAATGAATATTAGAAGTTGATGGGATTAAAATTGTTCTGAGAAACTATTAGGGTTCTAATCGTAAATAGCAACATGCCAGCATAAGGCATAGCAGGTTTTGTGCCTAATCTGGAACAAGGGAAACCCCTCTGCGTTTGGAAACCTTGTTCTGTGAATGTCTGGACTCCAAAGCTCAATCATTAAATGTGTCACGCTGTTTTCTCCCTCCCTCCTCCTCTACCGTCTGACATTCCTTTAACAGGATCAACAGATTGGAACATTTTTTGTGTGCCTGTCAGCAATAAAAAAGTTAATTTCTTTGTGGCTTTGACCTTTTGTTAGGAAATATTTGACAGTGTGACCCCCGGGCCCCTGTCTGAGTGCAGCAGGAGAGGTGGTGTATAAAGGGCCACAGTCTGTCTGCTTCAGGAGACTGTCACACATCCACCAAAAACAAGGTAAGAAAAACTGTTTTATTATATCGTCTTTTAAACTATCAAAGTAAATATATTTACAGATTATTTCCAAGCATTTATTCGTCCTGCATTTCTCCCGCTGCTTTTGTATGCTAGAGTTTAAAACTAAAATCATAGATGAACTTATTGCAATTTAAGACTGAAAATAACATGTGGAAACTCATACAACTTCTCAAGATGTTACACTCCTAGTATGTGTTGTAAATGACTCTCAGCTACTACCACGCCAAATCAACATCTGTAAACTTGACTAAGTTATCCTGATTCATGCTCAATAATCCAGGTAGAAAATCCAACAAAGTTAAGTCAGGTCCTCTGGACAGTTTCTTTTTGTTGAAACGTTTCATCTTTTATCCAAAATACTTCATCAGTCTGAGGAGCCACAACAAACTCAGTCTTATAAATAATACCTTCACATAGTGGATGAAGCAGTTTGATGGTGCTCAGATGGTTTCTGAAGTCCTCCTTCTCCCCTGTCAACTCGTTTGAGGAGTCACGGACAAAGTGGTTCATTATTGAGCATGAATCAGGATATTTTGAATCACTTTGACCATGACTGCCTCCAGTGAGGTGATGGGGGAGAGGGAGGACTCCAGAAACCATCTGAATACCATCAAACTGGTTGACCCACTATGTGAAGGTTCTACTTAGTAGTAGTACTTAGTCATCTCAACAAAGTTAAGTCAGGTCAAAGTTGGGTTGACTAAGTTACAGTCATTTTATTTAGGCTAAAACTGACTATCTGTGACAGCCATTCTAAGTTTTAAGATTGACTCCAAATATGTTTCAGTTATATACATCCATTAATCACTTGCTGAATGTTTCATTAAGGATCATGTAGCAATTCATGAGATATTTTGTTAACAGACAGACAAAGTTGACTGTAGTAGTGAAGTCCAAAGTTTTAAAAACAAATCATTTGTGGTCAGCTGGTACTTCAGGTAGGAATAACTTTCAGTGACTAACCACATTGTTCAGCTCAAAATGAATGAAAATTTTAGGTTTAGGTGTGGCGGCCATCTTAAATGTGGTTGAATCTGTTATTTGAATGTAGATCTATAATCAGTGATTACTTCGGGAGAAGTTTTATTACAATCTGTCCAGTGGTTCTGAGGACCCCCCCCCCCCCCCCCCCCACACACACACACAGACACACACACACACACACACACACACACACACACACACTTACAGACTTGGCCAAAAACACAACATATATCTTCAAGTGGTATAAATACAAATAACCTAAAAAAAAAATCATGCAGTCCTGTTTTCTTTTCAAATATTGTGCTGACAGAGTTACAGCATCCCGAAAAATAAAGTGTGTGTGTGTGTGTGTGTGTGTGTGTGTGTGTGTGTTGGGGGGTGTTTTCCGTTCTCTGCTTGCAAAATATCTTCTGAACCTCTGGGTGGATTGTAAAGAAACTGTCAGGTTATGAACATTAGTGTAAATCTAAAACTGATAAACCTTTGGAGATCATCATTCAAGATGGCCGCCACAGCCAGCTGACACTAGCGAACACAAAGATGGCTGGAATTCAGTCAGTTTGACAGATACTGAGCTAAAATTTGATACAGTCGTAGGCAAGAGTTAATCACAAAACATTCTATGAAAGTGTACAAAACCTTTACTTAAAATATTAAGTGTTTACTCTGTCTGTTAACAAAACCTAAACACCACAAAATGGATTTAAATTAAATGTCTACAAAATAATCTTTGAGTTTAAATCTATATTTTAACTTTTGGAAAAAATCCAATTCAACACAGTCTTCAAATCCATTGTGTCTTAAATCCAGTGAGCTTGGTTTGAAATTGTCACACCAACAGGGTGAAATGCATTTTGAACTGAACTCTGGGTTTTTATTTTATTTTTCTGACAGATGATGTTTCCAGCTCTGGCCTCCATACTGCTGCTTATTTCTTCTGCTCGGTCTTTCCAGTACACAGAACTGGCTCAGTACGTTGACAGCCACCAAGAAGAATACGTTGAGGTAAAAATGATAGTCGCCCCCCCACCCCACCCAAAAAAACCCCCCAAAAAACGGAAAGTGCTCAAGTCTCATTCATAAAATCTGCACCACATGGATTTTTTTAGGGGCAACCAAATCTAAATCTTACTGAGATTAAATAAGGCCGCAGATTTTTTTTAAGGTTTGTTTGTCAGTGAGTGATAAGTGTTCATTGTGTTGGTCAAGTGTCTCAAAAACTTGATAAATCACATATTTATTTTCCTTAGATTTTGTTAAAGATGTGTTCAAGATTTTCTGTAATTATTTTTACTATTAAATTAATTAATAAACAAAGTTATTATTTGTTTCTAGAACTTGCCTTGGACTCTAATGTTGCCTTCAAATCTTTGATTCTCGTTCAGTGCAAATTGACAAACGTGCATTCACACACTGTACGATCAGTTCCTGAGGTTTTTTGTAGAAGATCCAAGTCATGTGAATATGATGTGCTGATGAAAATCAAACTTTAAACACAAATAAATATATTTTTATGTTTAGATATATAGTGCCATGAAAAAGACTTCACACACTTTGAACTTTTCCACACATTGACCTGGTAAAATCACTAACTTTAAAGCATTTTAATGGGATTTTATGTGATGGACCAACAGAAAGTGGCACATAAATCTAGAATGATAAAATGATAAATGGTTTAAAATCAATCAACCTTTATTTAGACAGGTAAATCCCATTGAGCCTCGAGGACTCATTTACAAGAGAGACCTGATTTCAACAAAGAAAGATGACAACAATGGACAACAGCAACAACAAGAAACAATTATAAAAAGTCATACTGCAGGGTTTTTTTTGTTGTTGTTTTTTTTACAAATAGGATGGCTAAAAGGAAAAGGTAACAAAAAAAACAGCTAGATTCTAAGGCAAATGTAGAAAACTAAAAACAGGAACATGTCTGCATTGGTCCCTGCCAGGAGTCCAACAGATTCTTAAAGCCACTTAGAGAGGTCAAGGTCGAGAGCTTCAAATCTTTTTGTAAGATATTCCAGGAAACAGGAGCAGAGTAGGAGAAGGCCCTTTTGCCTAGTTCAGTCCTCAATGAGGGAACACTGCAGGTAATAATGTCCTGAGAGCGCACTCTGTAGCTGCACTCACACAGAGACATGTAGGAGGAGATGTATGAAGGCAGCAGCCCAAGAAGTGATTTAAAGATGAAAATGTACCAGTGAGAGAGTCTGTGTGAAGTTAATGATGTCCAGTTAACCAGTGAATACAGGGTGCAGTGGTGGGTACGATAATCACAGCCAGTTATGAATCTTAGTGCACCATGATAGACAGCATCCAACATCTGCAGGGTTCTTGTAGGAGCGTTCATGTAAATAATGTCACCGTAATCAATGGAGGGAAGGAAAGTCACAGATACAAGGCGTTTTCTAGCATTCAGGGTTAGACAGGATCTGTTTCTGAAAAAGAAACCCAGTTTAACTTTCAGTTTCTTTACCAAGTTTTCCACATGGAGCTTAAAAGAGAGATGTGAGTCGACCAAGATACCCAAATATTTATAGGAATCAACAAACTCAATGGGGACACCATTTGAGGATAAAATCAGAGGAAGAACTGCTGGGACCAACTTCCTATTTGAAAAAAGCATCCCTTTGGTTTTGTCGGCATTTAGGACAAGTTTGAGGCGGAATAAATCAGTCTGGATGTTGTTGAATGCAGATTTCAAAAGCTGAAAAGCCTTAGCAACAGTTTTAGCTCGACAATAAACAACTGTGTCATCAGCATAGAAATGTATGGATGCATTAGGGATGTTTTTACCAACATTATGTATGTAGATTGTAAAGAGGGTGGGTCCTAAGACTGAGCCTTGTGGTACACCATTGTTGATTGTTAAATAACTGGAGGAAGTACCATTATGTTGAACACATTGCCTCCGGTCTGAAAGATAGTTATAGAACCAACCAATGGTGTGTTCTGAGAAACCAATTTCTGAGAGTTTATGACACAAGATGTTATGATCCACAGTATCAAAAGCTTTAGACAGGTCTAAGAAAAGTGCAGCACAATAATCCTTAGCATCCAGTGCTTCAACAACATCATTAAGAACCTTCAGTGAAGCAGTGGTTGTGCTGTGTTGTTTCCTGAAACCAGATTGATGTGGAGGTAAGATGTTAAATGAGTCAAGGTAATTTTTGATTTGAGAGTTTATCAGTTTTTCTACAACATTGGCTAAAATGCAGAGTTTAGAGACTGGTTGATAGTTGTTCAGTGAGGTGGGATCACCTCCCTTCAGCAAAGGAAGAACAAAGGCTGTTTTCCAAGTGTCTGGGATGGAGTTTTGTCTTATGGAGAGATTAAAGGTGTGGGTCACAGGGACTGTGATGATATGAGCAGCCAGCCTTAAGAAATAAGGTGGAAGTTCATCTGGACCTGCAGATTTTTTAGGGTCAAGATCTTTTAACAGTTTATTAACCTCAATGACTGAGAATGGAGAAAAAGAGAAGGTGTGATTAACTGAGGATTGACTTGTAGGAGGGATTTGATTTGTAGAAGTTTGGTTATTAGGGGAAATGGCTGATCTTCCATTCCAAATAATTTTTACTATTAAAAATCCGAAAAGTGGTGTGCATTTGTATTCACACCATTTTCTCTTATACCCCTAAAATCCATGCCCTTTCAGAGGTAAACTAATTAACAGAATCCAGCTGTGTGTAATTGCTGTAAATTCATCTGTTCTCTGAAAGTCTCACAGGTTTGTTGCAGAAAATTAGTGATTAAACAGCATCATGAAGACCAAGAAACGTAGAGGACGGGTCAGGGAAAAAGTTAAGTTTAAAGTCCTTTTTTTCCATCCATCCATCCATCCATCCATTATCTTTACCCGCTTATTTCATTTTGGGTCACGGGGGTCGCTGGTGCCCATGTCCAGCAATCACTGTGCAAGGGGCGGGGTACACCCTGGACGGGTCACAAGTCCATCACAGGGCCACATAGAGACAAACAACCATTCACTCTCTCACTCACACCTACGGACAATTTAGAGTTACCAATCAGCCTAACATGCATGTTTTTGGTCTGTGGGAGGAAACTGGAGCACCCGGAGAAAGCCCACACATGCACGGAGAGAACATGCAAACTCCACCCAGAAAGGCCCCTGGACCGGGGTTTGAACCAGGGACCTGCTCGCTGAGAGGCAGCAGCTCTACCAGTTGCGTCACCGTGTTGCCCTCCATCCATCCATTTTCTGCTTATTCATAGTCAGATCTCAGAGGGAACAGGTCCAGGAGGAAACCCTTATCTGCAGCAATACTCTTCATTTTTTCCTGGAGGATCCCACGAAATTCCCAGGCTAGAGGAAACATATAAACCCTTCACCCTTCAGTGAGTTCTTGATCTGCCCAGAGATCTCCTCCTAGTGGAACATGCCTGGAAAACCTTCAGAGGTAGACACCCAGAAGGCATCGTAATCTGAGAATCACCTCAGCTTGCTCCTTTTGATATAGAGGAGCAGAGACTTTATTCTGAGCCTCCCCCAGATGATGGAGCTGCTCACATCATTTTTAGTCTGAGCCTGACCACCCTATGGAAGAAGCTCATTTGAACCTCTAGTTTCCAGGATCTTGTTTTATCGATCATGATTCATATCTCTTGGTCATAAGTGAGGGTTGGAACACAGATGGAGTAAATCAAGGGCTTTGCCTTTTTGATTTCAAAACAATATCCCAAGTTTGAACAGGTGGAGGAGCTGTGTTCAATCCATCATCTGAAAATGGAAAGAGGAAGGCACAACTGCAGTTGTACTGTAGAAGACATGACTGTCCACCTTGACTGACAGACCTGGCATCCAGTATGACAAGCAAGAAGCCAGTAGAAACTCTGGAGGAGTGTGACAGATTGACACGTCAGGAGGGACAATCTGTCCGCAGCATAACTAGTTGTGCACACCACAAAGCTACACTTTATGGAAGAGTGGTAACAACGTTAAATCATAAGAAGTCATTTTTGCTGTTTGATACTAGCCATGCAGGATTGTAGTAAACATGTGGAAGAAGCTGCTCTGCTCAGACTAAAACTGGACTCTTTGGCCTAAATACAAAACACTATGTGTGACTGTAAACTAATACTGCACATCACTCAGAACACACTACCCTCACTGTAAAACACGATGGTGGTGGCATCCTACTGTGGGGCTGCTTTTATTAAGCAGGGACAGAGAACTGGTCAGAGATGACTGAAAGATGAATGGAGCTAAATCCAGAACAATCCTGGAAGAAAACCTGTTAGAGGACTTGAGACTGGGGCAGAGGTTCTCCTTCCAGCAGGACCAAGACCCCAAGCATCCAGTCAGAGTGTTAGGATGGTCCAGTCAAAGTTCTGACTTAAATCCAACTGAGAACCCATAGCAAGACCTGAAACCATCTGTTTACAAACTCTCCAGTCCTGTGACTGAGCTGCACCTGTTTTGAAAAGAAGAATGGGTAAAAGTTTCAGTCTCTAAATGTGTAAAGCAGCTAGAGACTTATACATCTTATAGATGGAACTGCAGCAAAGATGGTTTTACAAAGTATTCACTCAGGGGTGAACATGCCACATTTTCCTGATTTTTATTTGTAAAAAACCCTGAAAACTTTGTATCATTTTCTTTCCACTTCACAATTATGTACTAGTTTGTGTTGGTGTGTCACAGAAAATCACAGTAAAATAGTTAGAAGTTTGTGGTTGTAACGTAACAAAGTTAAGAAAGGTTTACGTGCACTGAATACGTTTTCAAAGCACAAAGTAACGTTTAAATTTAAAACAGCCTTGCTGTTTTCATTTGGGTTTTCATGATTATACTTTGAATGTTATGTTCATACATTTGTTCCAGGCTCTCAGGGACTGGGTTGCAATTGAAAGTGATTCCAGCGACATTCTGAGGAGACCGGACCTCCATCGTATGATGGATGTGGTGGCTCAGAAGCTGCAGCTCATGGGAGGAACTGTGCAGTTAGTCCAAGTCGGAGAACAAGAGGTTAGTGATAAAAATGACCTATTTATGCAAAACTGAACCTCTGATCACTGATATTGATTGTCTTTTGAGATACTGGAGTTTGTAATCATGCTCTTAACGGGGTGGTAAACATTTCAGAAGAATTCTGACCCATCAAAGAGCAGTGACTGCGGCTAACATAAAAATATAAAATAAAATTGCAGAGGAGTCCGGAAAAAATGTTCCCCATTACTGACGGAAACACATCAAAGCTGTTTTCCAAGCTCATTAAACACCAGGGCTGTGCTGAGACACAGGAAAGATCAGGTACTCCCAATTTAAAAACAGCCATAAAAAAGAAAGGCTTAGCTTTGTTTGAAAGAAAACACATCGCTTGCAGCCTTTAATGTCAGAGTTTTAAACTGAGATCATCTCATGACAGAATTACAGCCATATCAGATCTTGTAAGTGAAATTAGGTAAGGGTCTCATGACGTATGCTAGCGCTCGCAGTGCATGTTAAGAATCAGTGTCAGCAATTATCAGTGGTGATTTCAGTCTCTTTTTGGGGGTGCTCAAGCACCCTGAAATTTTAAGAAAGCATCATTACAATTTTGAAAGGAAACTTAATTCTCAAGCCTTGGATTCACCAAAAATATTGATAAAATTTGAAATAAATATGTGTAGTGGTGTCAAGGTCAGCTTTCTGACCCTCCACTACTAATTATTTAAATATAACGGGTTCTCTCTTTTTCGAGTTAAATTTCTGCCATGTGACGAGATAACTGTGATGATTGTTTAAATCAGTGACATGAGACGTTAATTTCCTTTGACACATCAGAATAAATGTGGTCATTTATTTAACAGAATCAAAATTTAACATCAAAACATGTACACGTGATTAGCTGATCTGGTTCTGATTAATAAAACTTGGCATGCTTTACTAATAAGACAACAAGACATTTCTGAAGGCATCTAGATTACTGGCAAAATAGAAGAGTTTAAAGGAAGGAATGAAGAGTTTAAGGTAGATGGATGAAGGAAAGATGTATGTCTTGTTTACCAGAATTAGCACGGTTCTTTCAACACCAGCTCAAACCCCCGGTCCACTTAGTGCGCAACAACTCGTGACGTCTCTTTACCTTTGCAGATGATGGATCAGCTCCAGTCTAGATGTCCCTATGCACGCTACCTTTAAAGCGGCTCCGGTCAGGGAGGCTGGTCATCGTCAGAAGTCGTGTGGTTTACTCCGTTCAACAGAACAAGCTCCCTTCGAGGTTGTAGGGCATTATGCCCGGGTGGATTCACAGCAAGGGTGTGAGTCAGTCAGAGTTTCCACTCAGGAGTGGAAGACTCCACAAGGCGGAGTAGACTGGAAGACTAGAGACTAGACTGGCTAGACTCGACTGGCTAGACCCCAACTCGACTCAGTAGTTCCAGGAAGTGTGGACTTTTAAAGAGTTCTCACTTCCGGTCACTCAGGACTTCCTGATTGGTTGAAACAACCAACAGGGGGTGTGTTTCAGTGATGTCAGAGGGTTATTAAAAGTCAAGAGGACAGCAGGAATGTTTAGGAACGTTTAGTACAGACAGAGAAATGTTTTGAAGAAGTGAGAAACTTTACAGGTGCCAGTTGCTCTTATTTACTGTCTGCTAGGTTTAAAAACAATACAGCCCGTTTTAACAACTTGTTTTCTGACTGTCTCTGACTTTTGACCGACATCGCTACTTCTCCTTTAGACAGAAAATCAAAATGCATAATTACTTTGTAAATAGACATTTAACTTGATTTCTAATTTAAATGAGGTGTAAAAATCATTAATACTGTTTCACAGTTGATTTAAAATGAGTGGTTCACTCCAACATTTAGAAATGGTATGAACTAAACACACTTTTGATTATCAAGATATTGTAAAATAGTAATGATAATATAAAAGAAGAGTGTTCTTTCAATTGATTACTTCAGGATACAATTAGACAGTCTCTGGATGAGCTCATTTGTATTTCTGGATTCAAATCAATGAAATAACAGTTCCTGTCCCATGAAGGTCTTCAGAGGATGGTTTTGGTCGGAGGCCTAGTTCACTACATATGAAATAAAGGATGACACTTAAACAGGCTAGTAAAATCTATGATTTTTTTTTTTGCTCGAGTCAGATCCTTGATGCCACCTGTCAATAAATCCAGTAGGCTTGTCCGCAACTGAACAATCAGCAATCTCAATATGTCCCAAAGTGAAATGCCCCTTACCTACAAAAGTTGTGGGGGAGGGGTGGATGCGTGAAAGAAGCTGAGTGTGCTCTATTCACACAAGGAGAGCTGTTGGTCAGACTACTTGTTGTTGCTCTCTAAAATAGTTACTGAATCAAATGTTTACTTACACATGTTGTGGGGCGGCTGTGGATGAGTGGTTAGAGCACTCATCATCCAATGCAAGAGTTTGGGGTTCAAATCCACCAGCAGTCCTATGTTGAAATGTCCCTGGGCAAGACACTGAACCTCTCATTGCCTCCGATGTGTGTCCCAGCAGTGTATGAATGTGATAAAGCTCTGATTAGTCTCTTTATAATGATTTATTCAATTAGCTTTGTATAGATCTAGTAGAGTGCTGTGTGAATAGGTAAATGAGGGCACAGATTGAAGTGTAAAGCACTTTATTTTATTTTATTTTTATTTTTATTTATTTATTCATTTCAAATTAAAAACACAATAACAATTTCAAAACAAGAGAGTAAAATACAAAACATAAAATGAAAGGCAGCAGAAGAAGAAAAAAATTCTTATTATTTCTGCCCCTTCTTAAACAAAATAAATTCAAACAATCAATTCAATCAATAATCATCTATAAATAATACAACAAAATTACATAACTGATCACAATTTTTCCATTTATATTTCGTTTGATATTAACTAACTTAAATCTATATGTATCTATTCAACAATATGTTCTTAATCTTTTTCTTAAATATAAACATTGACTTTGATTTTTTTACATCATCATCCAAACTATTCCAAAAACCTATTCCCTGTACTGAAGTAGACCTACCCCTTAAACTAGTCCTATACTTTGGTTTGACAAAAATATCTGTTCCCTTTAGATTATAACAACTTTTCCTTTTCACAAAATATGCTTGAATGTTCGAGGGTAGTATATAATTCTGAGCTTTATACATAAGTAAGAGAATATTATAATCCACCAGATCATAAAACTTAAGTAATTTCAATTTATAAAATAAAGTAGTTGTAGGTTTTCTCCGGGTACTCCGGTTTCCTCCCACAGTCCAAAAACATGCATGTTAGGCTGATTGGTAACTCTAAATTGTCCCTAGGTGTGAGTGAGAGAGTGAATGTTTGTTTGTCTCGTTTGTCTCTATGTGGCCCTGTGATGGACTTGCGACCCGTCCAGGGTGTACCCCGCCCCTCATACAGTGATTGCTGGACATGGGCACCAGCGACCCCCGTGACCCAAAAAATGGAATAAGCGGGTAAAGAAAATGGATGGATGGAAGTAGTTGTAGGATGACAGTAATGTTTTCTTGTTATAATTCTTATAGCTCTTTTCTGTAACACAAAAATAGGCTTAGTTATAGTTTTACAAGCTGTTCCCCAAACATCAACACAGTAAATTAAATGCGGGACTATAAAAGTATTGTACAGCAAACACAAAGCATTATCATTCAAAAGATCCCTTACTTTATACAGTACTGCCATGGACTTAGATATGTTAGTTTTTACAAAATTTATGTGTTGTTTCCATGACAGTTTATCATCAATAATTACACCCAAAAACCTTACCTCATTCACTCTACATATCTCAACACCATCAATTTTGAAAGGAAAATCCACAGTTATCTTTTTTTTACAAAATATCATAAAATTAGTTTTAGCAACATTCAATGATAATTTGTTTAATTTAAACCAAGTTTGTATTTTAACAAACTCCATCTTCATCAACTCAAACATCTGTTCCAAGTTTTTACCCGAACAAAAGAATGTGGTATCATCAGCAAATAAAACATCTTTCAGGATACCAGACACCTCAATTAAATAATTTACGTATAAAATAAACAACTTAGGTCCAAGAACTGAACCTTGAGGTACTCCACATGAGATACTGCATAGATTAGAGCATACATCATCAATCTGTACAAACTGTTTTCTGTCCCTCAGATAACTAGATATCCACTGTAGAGCTGGACCTCTAATACCATATTGTTTCAATTTTTCAAGTAGAATGGTGTGGTCAATGGTGTCAAATGCTTTTTTTAAATCAACAAATATGCTTATACAATGTTGTTTTTGATCTATCGCTGTAGTAACTTGTTCTATCAACTCCATAAGAGCCATGGATGTTGAATTTTTTGATCTAAAACCATACTGACTATTACTTAAAATATTATGTTTATCAAGAAATTTATCTAATCTGGACGCAAATAATTTTTCAAGAATTTTTGAAAATTGTGGCAACAAAGATATAGGTCTATAGTTGCTAACTATACATTTTTCACCATTTTTAAAAAGAGGAACTACCTTAGCTATTTTCATTCTGTCAGGGAATATTCCTTTTGAAAATGATAAATTACAGATATATGTGAATGGCTCAATAACATGACCCATTATTTCTTTCACAACCATCATATCCATGTCTTCACAATCTTTAGATCTTTTGTCAGTAAATTTTTGAACTACCTTCATTATTTCTTCTTTATCAGTTCCATCTAGAAACAGACTGTTTACACAACCATTGATTAAATAACTCACGTTTTTATCCACTTTAGGAATTGAAGCTGCAAGATTAGACCCAACATTTACAAAATAATTATTAAATCCATTAACGATTTCATTTTCATCATGAATTTCCACATTATTTTCCACAAAATGTTGTGAAAGTCCCATATTATCCTTGTGTTTTTTTTATAACATTGTTCATTACTCGCCATGTTGCCCTCATGTCACCACTACATTTGTGTAATAATTCACTATAATATTCTCTCTTATGTTTCCTTATAATCCCTACTAATTTGTTTTTATACTTTTTATATT